TTATTGATCCTCTGTCAAGTTTTCATCGTCGGTCAGGAACCTGGGTGTGCTCTTTGATTTCAATCTTTCATTTGAAAGTCACGTGAATAGTATCTGTAAAACCGCATTTATCCATCTTAAAAATATATCTAAATGACGTCATATGCTCTCATTGACAAATGCAGAACAATTAGTTCATGCGTTCATGACATCAAGGCTAGATTATTGTAATGCTCTACTGGGTGGTTGCCCTGCACGCTTAATAAACAAACTACAGCTAGTCCAAAACACAGCAGCTCGAGTTCTTACCAGAACCAGGAAGTATGACCGTATTAGCCCGGTTCTGTCAACACTGAATTGGCTCCCTATTAAACATTTTTAAATATTGCTGATTACTTACAAAGCACTAAATGGTTTAGCTCCCCAGTACTTGAGCGAGCTCTTAACGCATTATAGACCTTCACGTCTTTTGCTATCTAAAAATTCCGGCCAGTTGATAACTAGAATATCAAAATCGACTGCTGGCGGTAGATCCTTTTCCTATTTAGCACCAAAACTTTGGAACAGTCTCCCTAACATTGTCCGGGAAGCAGACACACTCTGTCAGTTCAAAGCTAGCAACATGACATCATGACTTTGCGTAAACATACACGCCACTTTCAAGTCAAGTGGCGTGTTATCTATACGCATTTTGAGCTATCCGCGTGTATGACCATGCCGAAACGAACCATCATCTTTTGCGTGTATGTCTACGTCATTAAATGTCTGAGTGATTCCGCGTGTATGTGTACGCCGTTAAATGTCCGAGCGAAACAAAGCAAAATGTATATATACATCTGTGGAGCGATATTGTTTTTCCTAGGATGGTAGGGGAAGACTCATAAATGGTATTAACCCCAGTGACGGGTAGGTTTAGGGACGGGGTTGGGGTAGGTCATATATTTATATCTACAGTAATGTAACGTTAAGTCAACGGCGTTGATAAACACGCTGAAAAGCGATTATGCGTGTTGATAGCACGCCAAAAATGGAAATACGAATTGGCGTGTCATACATACGCCATTTCATGAGATCAGTCTGAAGCTAGACTAAAAACACATCTCTTTGACCTGGCATACACATAACACACTATAGACTTCTATAATTCAATGTTAGGCTGCATAGATTAGGTGCCGGAACCGGGAACACTTCCCATAAATCCTGATACCCTGGCATCTACGCTAATATTAGTATCTCTGTATATCCTGCAACAACTAATCAATAAAATTGATAATAATCGATTATGAAAATCGTTGTCAACAAATGTCATTATCGATTAGTTGTTCTGCTTACGTCACGGGAAGCGTTTACTTGTGATTGGTTGAAACAGGCCAATCATGATGCTCTCTGTCTTACATGCGCTTCATGAGGCACACACACACACACACACGTAAGGTCTCTCCCCCCGAGCGAGCTACACGGTTCGGAGAACAGTCTCTTCTGTCTCGCTTGCGTGCTCTAGATTGCGGGCATCAGGGAGCCGCTATGAATATGCGGGTGACTCCCGGAACTTTCGGGAGACTTGGGATGTCTGTATTTTGTCTCGAGCACCAGGTTGCGCAATCAGGTTGCGCTGTGGAACGGGCAGGACTCGAAAAACTCCAGCCAATCATTTCCAAGACCACCTAGAATCATTGGACAGTAAGTGCGTTAATCAAACAGTCGTACCATACCCCCCTCCCCATCCCCCTCGAGCGAGTCAGGGCCAGCGTTGGAGGAAAGAAGGTAGGACCTTTCGAGTTGTGTATTTTCAAAATCTGCCGGCCGTTTTGCAAATCCCATACCCCACCTTTAAAATAGCGCTGCCGCAGAAATAGGTTAAATTAAAACGGTGTTTACAAAGTGAAGCTCTAAATATAAAGGCAGTTAATAACAGCAGCAGTAAAAGATTGTTTTTTTTAGTCACTGTACTCGGTGTTTTCAGCGAATGCTTGTGCACTAATGCATCATTTTTCCTGTCCTTTTAATTAAGCCAGTTTGCTTGCTGCGTACCTCCATTCCGTTCTCTTTTTATAGCATTTGTATTGTTTTAATTGTTTTAAAACTAAAACTTTAATTGCTTTTGCACTTTTAAAGTACACTTTTACACATAAATACCCTTATTTGTGTTTTTTTAGTTAGTTATAATAAACAAAAAATCTAATTGAATTTTTATCCGATTAATCGATTAATCGAAAAAATAAATAATCGCCCGATTAATCGATTATCAAAATAATCATTAGTTGCAGCCCTAAATGATACCAAACATGACTGTCAATTCACTTTCATTGACAGAACATTGTATTTTTTATGTATTCATTCTGATTGAACTGAGTGAAGGGAAGGGATAAATTGTGAAAGAAGGGCAAGAGTGAAAGTGTTGTGGCAAATTCAAAATCCTCAAATCGGGTCTCAAAGAATTTCTCGGAGTCGAAGTTTCAGGTCTCAGAAAAATTAACTTTATTGACAAGCAACAAATTGAGATGCCAGCTGGCCATCTGTACATCAGACTTGCAATGGTCAGGCTTCAGGTTTTATACCTTTTTCTTATCACTAGGTAGCCAATCAGCTATCTTATTCTTTTTTGCTCCGCCTCGAGATCTCACTGGCTGCGTCCCAATTCGCATACTATCCGTCCTAAATAGTATTCGAAAATAGAATTAGTACGTCCCAAATCATAGTATGTTGAAATGAGTGTCCCAAAGAGACCCGGATGGTCTACTATTTCCTGTCAGAATCCGAAGTGCAGATCGATGCACACTCTGACGGCTGATCAACGTGCTACAACATTTCTCTCCGAAACAGTAAGAAATTAAATTAGATTGAATAGAGGATTTTAACTGTGAAAGATGATTGACAGGACAGTTTACGGTGATAGGATGCACGCGACAGATCTGTCCGTTAAAGATGACGAAGTAGTATGTCCCAAAGCTTGCCTACTCTTACACACTCAAAAGTATATACTTTTTCTTCACAAAAAGAGTACATACTTTTAGGGCGTAGTACAAGTAGGCGAATTGGGACGCAGCCACTATCATTAGAATCATCTTTACCGGAGACATCTCTTTATTGGTGGAAAAATCTTTGGCCACACCCATTTAAAAAAATATATCTCAGGTAACATGATTCTCTGCACCTGCAGTGTCCTAGTGTCATCCATCATTTTTAATTAGAGGGATAGTTCACCAAAAAATTAAAATTCTGTCAGTAATTACTCTCCCTCATGTTGTTCCAACCCCGTAGGACTCCCGTTCATTTTCGGAACACAAATTAAGATATTTTTGATTAAATCTGAGAGCTGGATCACTCCTCCATAGGCTTCTAAGGGATCGAAACTTGCCGGCCCAGAGTTTAGTTTAGTCTTAATTGCATCCTAGTTAGTCTCCTGGTTAACTGATTATGTTCAGCTTTCTGTCATTAAGTTGTTTCTCCTTAGCAGTTATTTTATGTAATATTTTTGTATTTTCCATTTTCATTTTAGTTACATTTTTAATAATTTAGTTGTTTTTTGACATTTGTATAATTTCTTTTATGTTTTAAATGTCTATAGTTTTTATTCCTTTTTATTTCAGTTGTAGTTTCAGTTAGACTAAGTGAAAATGATAAATGTTCCTGTCTTGGGATTGTGGGGGAAACCAGGGTGTTTTTAATGTGTGTGGTTTTAGTTTCAGTTAACTAAAATAACCCTCAGTCAGAAATCTCCATGTCTGCAGCTTTAAGGCCCTTGCACACCGAGAGTCCGAAATTCGCGTCTGAAATTGTTGCATGTTAAAAAATAAATACGACCTCACGTTATGTCAATCACGATTGCACACTGCCTCCGAAACTTTCGTCCGTCATAAAAAAAAATCGGATCGTGTTTGATTTTCTGCGTTTTTCACATTCGTAGCAAGCAGTTTGAATGGTGTTTTGACAATTCAGAGCCACCGAATCACGAATACGAAAAAACGCATACGAACATTTCTGACTCAGTGTGTAAGGGCCTTTACACACACCAAACTTTAGTTTTATTCCTGTGACTGTCTATATTCTAAAGGTTTTTACTGAGGGGTTTGTTCATATATCATTCACCTGATTTATAGTCAAGCCAAGTCAAGTCATCTTCATTTATATAGCGCTTTTAACAATGTAGATTGTTTTAAAGCAGCTTTACAGAGACAAACATATAATTTAAGGTAACAGAGATTGGTTTGGTTTTATAGCGGTTCTTGAATAATGTTATTTCCAGCTAAAGTTAGTTTTGATTGATTCACTTCCGGCGAAATGATCATTTGTTATTAAATTAGGGGCCGCTAAGACGCCGCCGTTCTCTCTAAACAGACTTTAAACTGAACCTGTGATAAACGCTGATGGCGTTCACATGCGCATTAGGAATTGATTCTATAGTTATGTCCGTTTGATGTGTGCGCAGGTGTAATTCCCTACAAACCATGCCTAAACAAACTACTTGTCTTGCCTATAAATTGATACAGAATTTTGATTTATTTTATCACTTCGGGGTAGGTACGCGAACCGGAATTCACAACGTTTTAACTGTAGAGTGGGAAAGGGATCCTCCATAGGGAGAGGCTATGCAACATCTAATTCCTACAAACATGATGAAAAATTGTTTTGTTTTTTTCTGATTTATGGAGTAAAAAAAAATCCAAAATCCCCTCAGTCATTTTTTAAAACTCTAATATGTCAACAAAATCAAACAGAATGTTGAACCTGGCTTTATTCAATATTCAGATTTCTGTTCTGGATGTTTAATAAAATCAGTGTATATTCAATTAGACAATGCTTCATTTGCATTTTTAAATATTTCAGAAATGTTTTAATACAGAATATATAAGCAATTCTTCATGTAATCTATCAACTCGAGGAAGTACGGTGATATCCATCCGTATTCATACAGAGGTTTTGCCTCAACTGTGTTAGAAAGCTCCTGTGTAAAACATATTGAATTTACTGCTTTAAAAATAATGATCATATTTAACAGTCTTCTCTCTTTCCTGCTGTAGGTGAGCTCAACCCTGTACACTCGTCCAAACACCAAGAACTGGACTGAGATCAGGATTGACTCTGATGTGAATGTGAACTCTCTGTTCATAGCTCTGACTGAACTGAAGAACACTCTAGATGAGACTCTAAAAGAAAAACTCAGTCAAACTGGTATGTGAATATCAAATACAGTGTATAGATTTTTTTGTTTGTTATTAAGTTAGAAATGACGTTTTTCAAGGAATATTATGGGTTGAATAAAAAGTTGGTGATCACCACAATTATTTTGTCTCAGTCTGCAAAAGCTCACACTGTTTGAAAAATATAATCATAACAAACTTGCCATGTTAGCATTAGACTGGTATGATAAAACCACTTACTAAATGTAGTCTATGTACTCAACTCAACTTTATTTATAGAGCACTTTCAACACCATAAGTGGAACCAAAGTTCTGTACAGAAAAATATAAAAGAGAAATTAAAAAACAAAATATAAAAACAATGCAAACATATGACATACATAGCTTACAAAGTATTTTCAAATGCTAAAGAAAACAAATACGTTTTAAGCGCACTCTGAAAAACACCCAATGAAGGAGAAGATTTTACAGACAAAGGAAGGTCATTCCAGAGCCTAGGAGCAGCAACAGAGAAAGCCCGATCACCTTTACATTTTAAACGAGGATAGACTTCAATTTAGATATTGTTTTAAGATGGTAAAAACTATTCTTAACAACAGCATTGATGTGCCGGTCAAAAATGACACCAAGGTTTCTCACGCTAGACAGTTTTTTCCCAGGAAACAACCCCAGGCAGTCATCATCCACACACCCCTTACTTCCAAATAAAATCATCTCGTTCTTATCCTCATTTAATTGGAGAAAGTTATTCGTCACCCAGCACTTAACCTCAGTCACGCAGGGACTTAATGACACATTTATGCCCATGTTTCAGTGGTAAATAAATGTGTGAATCATCCGCATACAGATGATACTGAATCCCAAATTTCTCAAAAAAAGAACCTAGAGGAGCATATAAAGGGAGAATAAAATTGGTCCCAATATAGAGCCCTGCGGAACCCTACACACAAGAGGGGCAACAGTAGAAAAATAATCCCATAAACTGACTGAAAAAGTCCTATTTTTCAAGTAGGAAGAGAACCATTTCAGGGCTAAAAACAGTTTTTTCCTTCTTGGACAACCAACCAATCACAGTCTTCAAAAGATTGTGTCATACATCAACGGGGTCAACTCCGCCTCCTTACTAAGATGAAAGTTTTGGCCTTTTCCTTACTCAGAGTTGCTCTCAGATCAGTCCCGAATCGCTTTTAAGCTAAGACTCCTACGTAAACGTTTTTAAGCTAAATTAAGAGTTTTCTGAGAGGATTCTTAGAATCTTTATGAATACGGGCCCTGTAGTTTATCTTTAACCCATTTGCGTTCAGCCCTGCTACACTCCTGCCTAATATAAGAGCACGGTTGTACTGTTCAACCAGGGCTGCGATTTGACCTTTTTTTCCCTGACTTTGACAGAAGCCACAACATCTAAAATATCTAAGCATCCATCCATCCATCCATTTTTCCGCTTATCCGTGGCCAGGTCACAGGGGGCAGCAGTCTAAGCAGAGATGCCCAGACTTTCCTCTCCCTAGACACTTCTTCCAGCTCTTCCGGGGGGACACAGAGGCGTTCCCAGGCCAGCCGGGAGACGTAGTCCCTCCAGCGTGTCCTAGGTCTTCCCCGGGGCCTCCTCCTGGTGGGACGCGCCCAGAACACCTTACAGGGAAGGCATCCAGGAGGCATCCAAACAGATGCCCGAGCCACCTCAGCTGGCCCCTCTCGATGTGGAGGAGCAGCGGCTCCACTCTGAGCTCCTCCCGAGTGACCGAGCTTCTCACCCTATCTCTAAGGGATTGCCCAGCCACCCTGAGGAGAAAGCTCATTTCGGCCGCCTGTATCCGGGATCTTGTTGTTTTGGTCATGACCATAGGTGAGAGTAGGAACGTAGATTGACCGGTAAATCGAGATTTTCGCCTTGCGGCTCAGCTCTTTCTTCACCATGACAGACCGGTACATCGATCGCATTACTGCAGAAGCTGAACCGATCCATCTGTAAATCTCCCGTTCCATCCTTCCCTCACTTGTGAACAAGACCCCAAGATACTTGAACTCCTCTACTTGAGGCAGGAACTCTTAATCAACCTGAAGTGGGCAAGCCACCCTTTTCCGACTGAGAACCATGGCCTCGGATTTGGAGGCGGTGATTCTCATCCCAGCCGCTTCACACTCGGCTGCAAACCGTCCCAGTGCATGCTGAAGGTCCTGGTCTGAAGGGGCCAGCACGACAACATCATCGGCAAATAGCAGAGATAAAATTGTGTGTTCCCCAAACCTGACACCCTCCGGCCCCTGGCTGCACCAAGAAATTCTGTCCATAAAAATTATGAACAGAACCGGCGACAAAGGGCAGCCCTGCCTGAGTCCAACATGCACCTGGAACAAGTCAGAACCAAGCTCCTGCTCTGGTCGTACAGGGACCGGACAGCCCTTAGCAGAGGGTCCCGGACCCCATACTCCCGGAGCACCCTCCACAGGATGCCGCGAGGGACACAGTTGAATGCCTTCTCCAAATCCACAAAGCACATGTGGATTGGTTGGGCAAACTCCCATGAACCCTCCAGCATTCCATGGCCGGGACGAAAACCGCACTGTTCCTCCTGAATCCGAGGTTCTACTATCGGCCGTATTCTCCTCTCCAGTACCCTGGCATAGACTTTCCCGGGGAGGCTGAGAAGTGTAAACTCCTCCCAGGCCCGATTTTTTGCCTCCACAACCATCCGGGCTGCAGTCCGCTTGGCCTGCCGGTACCTGTCAGCTGCCTCAGGAGTCCCACAAGCCAGCCAGGCCCGATAGGACTCCTTCTTCAGTTTGACGGCATCCCTTACTTTCTGTGTCCACCACCGGGTTTCGGGGATTGCCGCCTCGACAGGCACTGGAGACCTTACGGCCACAGCTCCAAGCGGTCACGTCAACAATGGAGGTGGAGAGCATGGTCCACTCAGACTCAATATCTCCAGCCTCCCTCGGGATCCGGTCGAAGCTCTGCCGTAGGTGGGAGTTGAAGATCTCTCTAACAGGAGACTCGGCCAAACGTTCCCAGCAGACCCTTACAGTACGTTTGGATCTGCTGAGTCTCTCCAGCCTCCTACCCTACCATCGGATCGAACTCACCACCAGGTGGTGATCAATTGACAGCTCCGCCCCTCTCTTCACACAAGTGTCCAAGACATACGGCCGGAGGTCGGATGAAACAACCAAAAAGTCGATCAACGACCTCCGGCCTAGGGTGTCCTGTTGCCACGTGCACTGATGGAAAGCCTTATGCTTGAACATGCTGTTCGTTATGGACAAGCTGTAACTAGCACAGAAGTCCAATAACAGAACACCGCTCTGGGTTCAGATCAGGGGGTCCATTCCTCTCAATCACGCCCCTCCAGGTCAAGTCATCTCCATTTAGATAGCGGTTTTAACAATGTAGATTGTTCCAAAGCTGCTTTACAGTGATAATAGGAAATTAAAGTAACAGAGATTGTTTTGGCTTTATGACAGCTCTAGAATAAAGTTATTTTCCAGCTAAAGTTAGTTTTAATTGATTCACTTCCGTCGCAACGATCATTAGTTATTAACTTAGGGGCCGCTAACACGACACCATTTTAACAGAAAACTCGTTAGTTGTCTCTACGCAAATATAAAAAACATATATGTGTACTCCTGAGCATTAACACGTGTTTCATGGAGCAGAAGATATAATGATTAGTTGCCTATAAGTATTGTAATGGTGCAAAAAGTCAAACTTTAGAGGCATGTTATCAATAACCTTTATTGGAATATAAATGTACATTAGCTTAGCTGCAGGAATCTGTGAGGGCAACAGACAAGAAAATTGGTGTACCCAGGGCAGGCTTAGTGACAAATACCCTTGTATGGTTGTCTGTATACACTAGGGCTGCACGATGTATCATTTTAACATCGATATCGCGATGTGCGCATCCACGATAGTCACATCGCAGATATGTACGATGTCAAGTATGGATCGTAGTTGATGGTGATTCATGATCAGTAGGCAACGTGCCAGCAGCTCTCCGGCCCGTAACGCTTGTGATTCGTGGATTAATTGCAAAGTTCAACCATCATAGTGTGAGAGTTTATCAATTTGCAAGTCCTGTCAGTTTAAACATAAAGCGCAAGAAGACTGGAACTTGCGCGCTGTTTTCTGTCAGCCTCTAAAGCGTATTTTTGTCCCGCCAAAGTTTGACCGGTGACTGATGTAAAGACTGACTGCTGCGCTTGTTTAACTGAGAGAGCGAGCAGAGAGAGTGAAAGCCCCGGTCGCGCGCGCGCACTCTCACCGTCTTCAAACTGTCTTTCTCGCTCTCCCTCCCTCGCGCATATTAATGAATTGAGTTGAGTTGACTCAGTGATGGATTTCATCCAGTGATGAAATGTTTTCTGTGTTGACAAATCTTGTGCGATGTGGTCCGTTAATGACACGTCCGATTCGCGAACTAATGACTCATTTGAACCGATTCACTTTAATGAATGGTTAAAACAACTGATCTGTCCAACACTGAACTCAAGAGACATAAATCAGAAACGGTTCCATTTATTAAAGTCTAGTTAACTACATTAGTTAACATACTATTAATATTAGTTTCTATGCAGATTTACTCCATGACAAAACCACCCAAGTCATTCTAGAATTATTCATTCTTTCCAAATAGAGCTATTTAAGTAATCTGGTGAAATTGTTTTTATATCGCAATATATATCGCAGGAAAATAAAATATCGCAATGTGATTTTTTACCAATATCGTGCAGCCCTAGTATACACTAAACATTAGTGCTGTCAAAATGAATGATTAATCCAAGTGATTAATCAAAAAATAAAAATAACTCATAATCCTGATTGATACCTTCCTGGTATGTACTATGCTCAATTATATAGCAGGGCTCTCAAGTTTTGAAGACAAGCAGCAGGAGTGACAGAATCACGTGAACAATTCCTGGATATGCTTTTTTTTCTTTGGTTGTTGCGTTAAATCTTACCCAGATACAATAGTGCTATTTTCTGATTGGCTATTGTCTAGTCCCTTTCTTTTTTTTATTTGATTGGCTGATAAGT